TTTCGTAATAATTTTTTTAAATACCCCGACTTGAATACAAAAGTCAATCACATAATTAAAAAAAAATATTAAACATACTTTTCTTAAGTCCGTCAGTTACTGCTAATTTAATTTTCCTCAGAGCACTTTTCACACACTCATCATTATCAGTTCATCATCTTCCTCCACCTCCTCCATTAAGGTGCGTCTCTGACTCTCTCTCTCTCTCATAATGCGTGACAATGAATGTGGCTGTTGAGTTAGGTGTTGTGTAATTATCATCATTTGCAAATAGGGTTTAATAATGATCAATTTTAGGGTTTTAATTCTCAAGTTTAAATGCTTCACGTATTTCTTTCCTTCCACTGCTTTTTCCCTTTTTCTCTCTGTCTGGTAGCTAAATAAATAGGAGTAGTAGCATTTGTACTTTTCTCACCCAAATCACAACCGGCATTCGCCAGGGTGTCAAGAGTCGTCGGTCGGTGTAGAGAGAGAGAGAGAGAGAAAGAGGGCGGCGGTCGGTGAAGCTGGAGTGTCGAGCTCTGCAAGAATGAGCGCCTCTCGCTTTATTAAGTGCGTCACCGTCGGCGACGGTGCTGTCGGTAAAACTTGCCTCCTCATCTCCTACACCAGCAACACTTTTCCCACTGTAAGTTCCCTTCAATTTTAGGATTTAAGTTTTTTAAAAATTGAATTTGAGGAGGAATTGTTGCAACTTTGGGTGATATTCCTTTTTTTTTTTCTTAACGAAAAATTGGATTTTGAGGAAGAATTGTGGCAAATTTGGGAGAAATTAGCCCTAATTTCACCCGACGCCGGTCAATTTAGTCATCTCCTGAACATAGAGCAATATGGAGCAGTATTAAAGAATTACTCCGTATTTTTTACGAGTAGTTCCTGAGTTGGGGTTGAGAAAATAGTGTTAGATTCCGTGAAGAAAAGATTGGGATTTCATTTGAGTGTGTGATTAGCCAGGGAAGAGGCCAACTCTGCTTGTTCACCACAGTGTATTTTTGCCTCTTTGGGAGGTTCACGTGGTTCTTAGTTTGCAGTGGAGAGTTTCACATGATTCATGTGTTTCTCTCATTCATTGAGTTAGGTTAAACAGATGCAGGGGATCTCCCTTTATGTGTATGGATTTTTTAGCTTCTTGAAAATTGTCTTCTCTTAGCTTTTTTTTCGAGGGGTAATTATAGCTAATTAATTAAGTCATGCTTATGGAAGGACCTGAATTTTGGTAACATGTAAAGAACTGAATTTTGTTTTTGTCAGTCAAGCATCTAAAAACTGGTTTCAATAATCGTTTGATACTACAAATTGAGAGTCTCTAAGGGTACCTGTTAGGAGGTGGATGCACATGTTAAAAGGTGTGGGGGCATAGAAATGCAATTTAAGACAGGTTGAGGAAGGCCTAAGTTGACTTGGCCTTAAACAATTAGAAGAGAGGCCTTGTGAGTAGTATGAGACTTATAGTCACAGGGGAGATGACTCTCAACAAGAAAGAATGATGTCACTGTATCCATATAGCCGACCCACCTGGTGGGTAAAGGCTTAACATAGTTTGGTTTGGTTTTATAGAAGTAACAAAATTTAAAAAAACAAAAAACACATGATTTGATGATGCATAGGACCACATAGGAAAACCTAACTCCACTATAATATGCTTAAGTATATAAAGAATGAAACACATGCCAAAACATAGCACACAGGGTACCTAACACACCTAGTGCTGTGAAATTTTGTATTCTTTCACAGCTCGACACCTAATTTAGCTCTTGTTTTCCAGTTCAAATCACAACATTTATCTTATTGGTTTTAATTTTTAGTTTGAATGAATGTGAAAATTTAGCCATGGCATAATACAAGTATGGTTCCTTAAATGCCCCATTTTAATGTACTCCGTAACTTCTTAGGACCATACAATGGATTGAGGGTTCATAGTTGATGTTGCTCGATAATTCTTCTTCTTGCCTTAAAATGCGTCTTCTGTATCACGAGCAGGATTATGTTCCAACTGTTTTTGACAACTTCAGTGCAAATGTGGTTGTGGATGGGAGCACTGTAAATCTAGGGCTGTGGGATACTGCTGGTTAGCTGTTCTGACTTGGAATTAAACTTGCATCTTATTTGCATCCCTTTTATAATTTGGAGGCTGACTCTTATAATTTGGACAGGGCAAGAGGATTACAATAGGTTGAGGCCCTTGAGCTATCGTGGGGCCGATGTCTTTATTCTAGCATTCTCTCTCATTAGCAAGGCCAGCTTTGAAAATGTATCCAAAAAGGTTGTGTTATCCAACAACGTTATTTGCCTCTTGCTTTTTGGTCCCTACACACAAGGGCTCATAGCTGTAAAATCTACTTTAAGCTATTCTATTGATTATTGATTGATTACACATTTGACTCTTTCTTGAATCAAATTCGCTTTAATAATTTGATTAGGGAAATAAAAGAAATAAAGCGAAGATTCATTTAGGAGAGAGAGCCTAAAAATGAGTTAATGCGCATTAACATTTCTTTTTTATTTCTTTCTTTTCGAACTCAGTGGATTCCTGAATTGAGGCATTATGCTCCAGGTGTGCCAATTATTCTTGTCGGGACGAAGTTAGGTTAGTTTATCCTATTTAACTTTGTTTTTTCTTCTCAATTCATTCAATATCCATTCTTGATGCATTAGTTTAATTTGGATACTAAGATTAACTTAAAGTAACCAAGATCGTTAATCCCTCAAAACATATATTCTATTGGATTTGTTTTGTAATCATGAGCTTATAATAGGTACTATGTTCCTGTTAATGTATAACATAACATAACATAACATAACATGCATCATTCCATTGGATGTGCTTGTGTTAGATCTCCGGGAGGATAAGCAGTTTTTCTTAGATCACCCTGGAGCAATATCTATTACCACGGCGCAGGTATTCTTCAAGCATATCTGCCCTGTTTAGTATTTTACACACACACACACACACATGTAGGTGCAGACACTGTCAATGTCTGCAAGTATTGAGTTGTATAACTAATTAAACATTGCTCTGTTTCTTTGGAAGGGCGAGGAGCTGAGAAAGATGATTGGGGCTGCTGCATACATTGAATGTAGTGCAAAAACACAGCAGAATGTGAAGGGTGTGTTTGATGCTGCTATTAAAGTAGTTCTGCAGCCACCAAAGCAAAAGAAGAATAAGAAAAAGAGAAAGGGTCAGAAGGCCTGCAGTATCTTGTAACTCCCCTACCTACTAAAAAGATGCCAATGAAGGAAAGAGCGGTTTATGGGTTAGTGGTTGCGTTACTGACTATAAATATACTACACGCCGTAGGAAATCAAAAAAGCATCTCGGCTTTGTTGGTTTTGTGGGTGTAAGAATAATTTGTAGGTCTGGGGTTTTGTGTATATGTATGAGATTTCAGATATGTTTATGTTGTACAACTCGACTCATCATCTGGTCTGTTTTTTCCCTTTAATCTGTTTGTCATATAGTTGCATTGAGTATAAGATAGTGTTATAATGCTTGCAACTTTGGATGACATATACATATTCTTGGCATGAATCTATTCTATAGAAGTGCTTAGTTGAACATCAACTTCTCCTAGACGAAATCTAGACGATTAAGTTGATGTTCAAATTACAGTACATCGAAATGGTTTGCCGAATGACTACATGTCAAATTGAAAGATATATGCTAAGGATGTTAATTTATACACGACCTTGTTGAAGACTTGTGCATACTCTTCTTGGCGCTTAGGCGTTAAGTCGCCCCTGATCACCATGAGCGTTGAGCAACCAAGGAATGGCAACCTCCCAGGTTGTCCCCTAAGAGCCAATGGTATGAGTTGACCCCAGTGTCCTGCCCAATTGCCCTTCGTGTTTGTAGTAAGTCGTTTTTTAAATGGTCATGACGTGATGAACTTGAGCCAAAATATGTGAGATCCAAGTTTTTATTACTACTTTGTTTAACATAATTTTTTTGTGCAACTTTTTGCCGAGAAATGTTTCTTGAACAACTTTTTAGAGCAATTTTTTCCTCGTAAAATAAAAAAGCTAGATTTAAAAAACTAATGGTCAACTTTTTTTTAAGACAACATTTTACTCTCCACTTTTATATTTTTGAGATTTTAAACAATTGATAAAAATAATTCATTTTACCAAACAGTTTTTTCTTAAATTACGGAATATTGGAAATAATTGATACAAGCATGCATCCAAACACTTCAAAAAAAGATCTAACAACTCATAGTAGGAGAATATCTCAAATGGGACATTTTATTATTTATAGGATCAATTTGCTTTATGCGTGATGTTTAAATGATCTCAAGATCTATATTTAAAATGTAGTTTTTCTCATATATTTTATGTATTTGTATGAAGATATTTTCTTTTTTGCATAAAGGTCAATTTCTTTTATACTATAAATAAACTAAATTAACGAAAGAATTTAATTTATTTTAAGCTCCCTTTATGTTGACAAATACTTCCCATGTCTCGAAATTTTTGTCACGTTTACTTTTTTAACATTCGCGATAATTTTTGTTTATTTTTATGTTTTCATTAATTATTTGATAAAATAAAATATTGTTGACACTTTTTATTTCAAAAAAATTGTCATGTACTTTTTAAATGCGTAAATTTTATTTTTTTCAATACTAATAATTAAATAAAATAAATTGAAAAAAGTTGATATTTTATTTTCTAAGATATGACATCACTATTATACTTCTTCTCTTCTTAAATGTTGACAAATACTTTGGTGTACCCCATTTGTCCCACATCCCCTTTACCACCACCCATTTTTATCTATTTTTTAGTTATTTAATTTTTTTTAAAGTTCTTGCCCATTTATGTGGTGGAAGAGGGGATGAGGAACAAATGGTGTACCCCTAGCATTTTTCTATATCTTATTGGATGCTTATAATTTTTAAATAAAAAATTTCAATTACCAATATTTCAATTGGGTCGAAAATAAATCATCAAGATTTATGGAGAGCTTTTACAATAACGATATGAAATTATCCGCCATGGCCGCAGTTCAAATCCCATCAATGTGTTCATTTTTGCCTATTCTAGGGTTTCCTTCTCCCAAATAGCCCCAAATCATATTCTATTTCTTCGCTGGGTTTCAACCTCCGGGGGGCATTCTAATCGAATTTCTGCCGTAATTCTCTGAATTGTAAGTGCAATAGTATTCTTGAGTACCTTCATTTGAGCTTTTCGCTAAGCTCGGGGTTCTTTCTTCGGTATGGGGTACCTTTTTACCGGGCGAAAAGCTCAGGTTTTTGGTAATTGCCATTGCTAGGTGTTTAGGGTTTCGATGATAAACGGAGCAATGGTCTCCGTTTAAACTCAAGATTTACGCTGGAAGACATCATATCTATTTGCATTTGCACTCTATATTATCTACGATTCCGCATCTATTGTTCTGTTTTCTATCGTTAGCATCTTTTGTTGTCTATGGTGCTATGCATGATTGGAAGCTATTATGGTTTGAGTTATTAGTTTCTTCCATTTTGTTATTAGGGGTGTTTTATAAGCAAAATGGATGATGGGGAGCTTGAATTTTCCAACCAAGACATGTTGTCGAGCCCTTGTATTGGCAATTTTCCCGACAGTGGTTCAATGGGTAGCTTTTGGAATGATATCCTGGGCGATACACATGCTTGCACTCATACCCACACATGCAACCCGCCCGGGCCTGATAACTCACACACACACACTTGTTACCATGTTCACACCAAAATAGTGCCTGCTCCGAGTGAGGAGGATAAGGCACCCAGTGATGACACTGCAGAATCTGCAGACAAGAAATCAAAGAAGCGACCTTCTGGCAATCGGGAAGCGGTCCGTAAGTACCGGGAGAAGAAGAAGGCTAGGGCTGCTTCGTTAGAGGATGAAGTTGTCAGGTTAAGGGCTATAAATCAGCAACTACTGAAGAGGGTACAGGGGCAGGCATTGCTGGAAGCTGAGGTTGCTAGGCTGAAGTGTTTGCTTGTTGATATTAGGGGAAGGATTGAAGGTGAAATTGGATCTTTTCCGTATCAGAAACCGGCGATGGCTAATCATACACTGCCTGGATCTTATGTTATGAATCCCTGCAATATGCACTGTGATGATCAAGTTTATTGCCTTCACCCTGGCTCCGAGGGTAAGAGCTCGGAGGGTGTGACGTTGAACACTCAAGACATCAGTAATTGTGAGTTTGAGAGTCTGCAGTGTTTGGGCAATCAGTATTCGGGTCTGAATGAGCTTCCTGTTTGTGGGGTGGAGAACAGTATGCCAACTCGCAATACCTCCGGAAAGATTAAGAAAAAAGGTAAGTTGCTGATTATTATTTTTTGGTAACAGCTAGTATAGGTCTACACAACAATTTTTTTCCATTCAACAAAAGTATGGTTTCATCTCAGCTCCGAGTTGCGTGTTTAACACATTGATAGTCTTTTTACAACTTGACGTACCTGCTCTCAACACTCAACAGCTCTATTGAGTACTATTTACATTTTTGGAAAATGCATATGACATATTTTCTCTCTTTTACTTTGAAGAATCTTGAATTTCCCTCAGCAATCTCCATGTAGCAGGTTTTTTTTCTTAAAAAGAAAGAAAGACGGCAATAAAATGGTGATGAATGTGCATATTTTCATTAAATGATGTTAGAAGGATACCCAATTTTTTTCTAGCCACTATCTGAATTGCCTTGGTACCGGCATGAGAAAATGCTTTGGCATTAAGCCTTTTAATTGAGTTGACCTGAATATTCTTTTCAATAATCTTTTAGTTGCTTGCCATCATTGATATACTGTTTCTTTTTGTAGCCATGGCACAAGCAGCTGCAAGTAGTTGAAGAGTCGTTAGATCAGAGGCATCCGTGAGCTTTGAAAGTAATTGCTGCTATCATCTCCTTCAATTCCAATTACTGTTTGGATTTAAAGACTGGGGATCTTATATATATTCATTAAACTAAATGATCCAATGTGAATTTTATATGCCTCCTCAGGCTGTGGATCTGTGAAGGGATGGTACTCTTTGAATGAACACTGGTCAATGGGTTGGTTGCAGCAAGCACCTAGCGGACATGAATGACTGGATGAAGCTACGGTGGCTTTGTTTTTCATTGGATCTTATTATTCTTAGGTGACATGATTCTTTATGGACGACGTTTCTTGTTCATCACTCCGGCTTATTAATAATCTTACGCTTGATCAAACTTTCATGTCTATAACGCTATCTGCATCCTTGAAACTCATACTCATTTTGAATTTTTCATTTCATCACATCACATTTACTTTTCGTCATTTTCGAGTGTATTCTCTCATTTAAAAGTAATTCTAACACTACTTCTGCAACGATATACAGAGTTTGAAATAATAAAATGAGTAGATGTGAGTTGCATATTGCAACTTGCAAGTAGTTGCATATAGTCACTAAGTCGAGGCGCCCAACTACATTTTCAAAGCCACGATCGCACGTGTGCTTACTCGACAGAACGTAGAGAATGTTGGGGTTGTTGGGGTGGACGGAGATTGATAGCTTCTGGGCGTTGACAACCTTGGGATGTAGAATCAGTTGTCTCTTGTGGCACTTGGCTTGGGGTTCGTATTCAAGGTTCTTTTCAGTTGTGATGACCATTGTTCTTGTTAATCTGTACATAGACATACCACTAAAACAGTCAAAACAAAAATTCTACCGAGTATAATCGATCTATTGTTGTACAATAGTCTTCTTCTTCTTCTGTCACTCTTAACTATTACTCCACGATTACCAAACAAGTGATACAGATGAAAAAATATTCTCTCCATCCCAAAAAGATTGGTACATATTGATTTTTTGAGAAATTAAGGGAGGGATATTTTGGTGTTAACTTTTCAAAAATACCCTTGATGTGATGGGTAAAAGTAGAATGTGATGGGTAGATTATTAGGAAAAAGGTATGATGTGATAGGTAGGGTATGAAAAAGTAAGGGGTAAAAGTGGTTTTTCGAAACGTGTCGGACTTTTTGGGACGGAGGGAATATTATAATTAGGCCCCGTTTAAAATCAAGTACTGTAGAATAGCCTTCTTCTATTTTAGTCACTCTAATTATTATGGGTTTGTAGAATACTTATTTTTATTAAAATCAAATAAGATTAGACCAATTAGAAATTATTTTAAATATAACTATAATTATATCAAACCAAGTCTAACCAGATCAGGTTAAAACAGATCACATCAAATCATTAAAAAATCGGATCAGACCCGCTATAAAAACAATTCAAGTGGGACAATTTATTATTCCTAAGAATTACTTGATGATCCAGAAGGCTAGGGTGGGAATAATAGAAATATATTTATGGTAGAATAGAAGTTTCTTTATTTGTTTTACCCTCTTCATACATTAAGAGGGTTAAATTTTTTTATGGTTGCTTGTGATTGAATGTGGTGATGCCTATGTTGTAAGCTTTGTAAGTACAAAGTAATATTTAAGTAATATGTGAACCTAGAGAAGCTCTAAGATTTGACCTAAATGGAATATAGGCAAGTTGTGTAATAAGTATAGTAAGGTCAAAGTCATGTGGTTCCTGCTGGGTTCAATGACTATTTGGATACAAACGTGCGCACGGAGATCTATGAATTGTCGTTACGAAGGGGACATGGACCTCACCCACCTAACGAGGAAACTTAGTTGAGTGAATTTAGATTCTTGATTTTATCTGTGTATTGAATTTTGCAGTTTTGCTGCAATGGTGGACGAGAAAGAGCAATGGGGGAAACACTGTTCATTCTCCAAACCACCGGTCGTCAGAGAGCACCGTACCATCACCGGACCACTGGAATTCACAGTCATCCAAAGTATGTTCATTCATTAATTGTTTCTTTAGTCTCCTAATTTCTTTAGATCGTTAAAAAATAAAAAATTAAATTCATTGAGAAGAACCAAGAGTTGACATTCTTGGAGCTCTGTACGTCGAGAAGTTGGCCACCTTAGAAGATGCGGCAAACCTGAAGAATTGTATGGTGATTTTGAGATCTGACTTTGGGAATTGGAAAATTTATGGTCATGGAGTCACACGGTCAACTAGAAACTAGTCAAGTGGGGGGCATAATTTAATCATCATGCGAAGCTCGAAGAACTCTCCAATGGGGGGCAAAACTTTTGGAGTTCCACCATGATGATGAAATTTTGTCCCCGCTTGACTCTCCTCTGTTGACTATGTGACTCTATGAACATAAGTTCTCTAAATTTGAGGTGTGGGCGCTCTAGGTGGGCATTCCATTATTTTTTTTCTTAATAAAAATCATGTATTGCTAAAGAAAGAAAATCTAGGCGGGTGGAACATACTTCCAACTCTTTCGAAAAAAAAGTTTGAATGAAAAGAAATAAAAGTAAATAAAGAGTACAAGAAAATTGTATTTTGAAAAACACATATCATGTGTAAAGCAAATTATATTACCATTTTTGTTATCTCTGCAAAGCATGTCTCCATCATAATAGCATGTACCAATGTGGTGGCACCTTAGCATGACCCAAAGAACAAGGGTCATGTTAGGGTGACATCATATGAATGCTACCATGGGTACATTGATATGAGAGAGCACAAAAATGATAATCATCTGTATCGCATAAATAATTAATATCTGTGTTTATTTATGCAAAGCATGAGTACACCTATAATAGCATCTATGTATTCTATTTTAAAGACCAAATTCTACGGACGTTACCGAATACTGACTTGAACAATGGGTTGGTTGGCCGGCCAATGAAAACTGACCACGTCACCAAAGCAACATTGGAACGCCCGCGTACAGCCTCGGAGGTACTGCACATAGTACCTTACTTCCGGTGTGGGGCAGCCCTTCCTTCATTCCTTGTCGCCTTCCCCCTTCGTCCCCTTCCTCTTCCTTCATTCAATTCAACCAACCAAACCAAATCAAACCTCTCAGATTCATCCTCCATTGAAGTGTGATCGTAGTATAATATAAACATTATCATCATTTACTTATACCCCGTAATATATGCTGGGTAATTATTATTAGTCCGTATTTCAGAGAGTAGTAGGTGGTTTTATTTTTGGACCCAATTAATTACTCTGTGGCATATACGAGAGAGAGAGAGAGAGAGAGAGTAATGGGATTCATTGATTCGGTCAGTGGCATTGGAAGAGCAGCAGTCTTTGCCGTTGCGAAACATTAAGGTATAGTGAGAAGTGGCATCTTCTTCTCGATTCTTTTCCTGAAGAAAAGAAAATGGCAGAAGATCATCAGCCATTGTTGAGTGACTTGGAGGGAGCAACAAAATCCATTGCCGCCGCCGCCGCCGCAGCTCATAAAAGGCGTTCGTCATCATCATCATCACCTCCTCCTCCTCCTCGGGTCGCCTCTCTTGATGTCTTCCGCGGCCTCTCTGTTTTTGTGAGTGTTCCATTTGATTTTGATTTTTTTGACTTTTTTTTTCTTTTGGAAAAAGAAATTTGAATCGGGACGAATTGTTAATAATCCTTCAGCTGATGATGGTTGTGGATTATGGCGGATCTGTTTTCCCGATCATCGCCCACTGCCCTTGGAATGGGCTGCATTTGGCCGACTTTGTGATGCCTTTCTTCCTTTTCATCTCCGGCGTTTCCCTCTCTATTGTTTATAAGGTACCTCCTTCCCATCCATTCATTCTTAACCATCAAAATGTTATCTTTTTTTTGTTCTTGTGTATAATTAATTCGCTTTTGATCCATTTCATTCAATAACACAAAGGTTCGCATTATTTGATCGAATCCCAGAATGTTTCAAAGAGATTAGAGGCTTCCAAGAAGGCTGTGTTGAAGGCGTTCAAACTTTTTCTCCTCGGTATTTTTCTTCAAGGTAAATGAATTCTTGGATTGCTAACTATCTACTACTGTAGTGTACCTATCTTCCATGGATCTCTCTACTTTATAGGGGTTTATGTACTAGATTTTTAAAGTTTATAGGGGTCATTCCCAAAATTTCCCATTTCCCAAGTCTTGATATTGATTATGCCATACTACCATACATCCGAAGTGGTTTATGTACTAGATTTTTTGAAGCACATGCGGCATTGTTAATTGTTATGGCGCAAACCAACTAGCATTGGCCGGGCTACTCCCCAAACGGAGTGGTTTTTTTCAGAAGGATCCCAATTCTTTCCTAGAATTCTTATACCCATTTGAGACTTTGAATGACCCTTTGCTTCTGTTTTTTTTTCAGGTGGTTTCTTGCACGGAATAACTTCATTGACATATGGGGTAGACATTGAAAGAATCAGACTGCTAGGGATCTTGCAGGTGTGTGTGCATGTTTTATTAAATCTTGATTGATTGATGCGTTCTTACTATTGCGCCTAGATTTGCTCGAACGCGTATGAATTTAAGATCAATGGTTCATTATGTGTTGCCTGACTTAACAACAGAGGATAGCCATTGGCTACGCTGTGGCAGCTTTGTGTGAGATATGGCTTCCTTGCAAAAAGAAAACAAAGGGAGGTTTCTTCCTCAACTACATCTGGCATTGGTTAGTTGCTTTTTTAGTAACTGAACGTTTCACTTTGATCATTTTTATGAAAAAGCTTTCGAATGTTTTACTGGTTCTCTTTCCTTTATTTTTATTTATATATAGGTGCACTGCATTTCTGCTCATTGTCATATACGTGGGGATATTATATGGCTTATATGTTCCCGATTGGCAATTCAGTGTCCCTCAGATGACTTCTTTACATGCATACAATGGAACTATTGTTTATAAGGTTTGATCATCGGCAGTTTCCTTGTATTTTTGAGTTGATTTCGGCATTTGTGGTGTAAGCCACTTGAAATCTGATTTTTTTATAACTTTAAGTATGCCTCACGTATAAGAGTTGGAGTAAAGATTCATAACCATGATGATGCCTAGGCAATAAGATTAAGAAATCCAAATATGGTAGATTCACATTCAACTATTATCTTAACAGGTTAATTGCTCCAGGAGAGGGGATCTTGGGCCCGCCTGTAATTCAGCTGGAATGATAGATCGCTATATCCTAGGAATTGATCACCTCTATGTGAAACCAGTATATAGAGAACTCGCAGAATGCAAAACATTGAATCCACCTTCGTGGTGTCACGCTCCCTATGAACCTGAGGGTGTCTTAAGGTATAGCCAATAAAGGGGTTACTTTGTTTCTTCTATAAATAACAAACTACAAACTAGTTGAACAATTCTGATGAAAATCAATCATTTCTTTCTTTCGTTCGTTCATTCATTACTTTAATGAGTCACATGTAACTTATGTAAGCAGCTTTTGAATTCCCTCTGTATGAACAGTTCACTAACAGCTGCTGTCGCCTGCATTCTTGGACTCCAGTATGGCCACATCCTCTTGCACTCCAAGGTACCTTCTATTCATTAAGGCTTCATTCCACATGCATGAATGAACGAATCCACAATTTTGATACATTTGCTCAACTGTTTTTGCACCACAGGAGCATAAAGACCGATTAAACAACTGGTTGGCCCTGTCATTCCCACTTTTCGCAGTTGGATTGTTGCTCGCATTCACGGGTAAGTAAACATTTCTTTAGTCATCAAATGAGATGAGATTATAATGAAATTCGCCTTAAGATTTGGACTGCGGACAAAGTTTTAAACTTTATATGTACGCTTGTGTTTCTCATGCTTGTTTCTATGATGGATGATGGTATGATCTGTTTGAATCTCATCACGTGCAGGTATTCATCCCTTCAACAAATCGTTGTACTCCGTAAGTTATTTGATGGTTACCTCCGCATCTGCTGGAATTACATTGTGTGCTCTGTATTTACTGGTGCGTATAGTTCGTTGTAATAATAAAATGGGCTTGCATTTTTTATCGGTGGCATAAAATGGTGCTGATTTTTCATCATTCTCTGTCAATCTGTGGTGGTTAAGGTTGATTTTTATGGCCAGAGGCGGCTGACATTGGCACTGGACTGGATAGGGAAGCATTCTTTGACTATATTCATCCTTCTAACATCCAACATAGGTGTCATTGCAGTACAAGGCTTCTATTGGAGAAGTCCAGAAAACAACATAGTAAGCTATGGAGTTTTATTTAGATTGAATCAAATTACTCATACCTCCTTGTTTAACTATTTCGCATAGAATGCCTATGAAGGTGCTAATCATATGCAACACGTACATTGGCTATGTATTATAGGTTCGTTGGATCGTAAGACAAGTTGTGCATAAAGACTAGCGCTATGAAGCTCATGTATCCCTTCTTCGTTGTGCATTCCACATGATCGCTCACAGGCTTATTATATTCAGATTATTTATGGCAAATGCTTATGCAGAAGGAAGCCCAGTTGGGGAAGATAAGAAACCCAAACAGTTTGGATATGGGTTTTACTTCATTTGTTTTTTATTTTTTTCTATTGGCATTCATTAACAATATCGCAAACTTTGTGTGTGTATATCTTCTCTTGTAAGTTCTTGTGACCTTCGATAACTACACACTTCCTCTATTTTTTTTTCATGTATGGCTATCGTTACGAACGGATATTATTAATAGTGTATGGCAAAGGGATATAATATTCTATTTTAACTAAAATGACGATTACAAAAAAGATGACCGTGTATGGTAGGATTAGCATTAGTGCCACATAATAGGAGAGAATCCTCTCCCTATTAATCAATTTATAATATATGGGTTGGTCTTGATGGACTCATTCTCCTCTTTGTCAAATATTGGTTCAATTCAAACTAATTAACTTTGGGAATCAAACCAAGTAACTTCAGGCAGGGAGTTTTTTTTTCTTCAAAGATGAGTAGTACGTAAAATGGAACAACAATTGTGGGAAGGAGGAAATAAGGTTGCGTGATAAAGGATGATAAACTCTATTTATGTTTCAATCTTAAAAAAGATGGGTTAGAACAACTCCAATGAACTTGATAAATTGGTGAGATAATAATTATGGATACTGTTCACTCATTCATATTGATATTCAGTTTTTAGAAATATATACTCCGTATATTATGACTTCGGAAAATAGTTTTATAGCTCCAATCTTGTTATTGTTTGTACAAAAACAATATTACCCTTTGTTTAAATGAAGTGAGTAAATGAAAGAAAAAAAAAAGAAAAAATTCATCATTTTGTGTATTTTTCTTTCTTGCATTTTCTTTACTTTTTTCACACCATCCAAACACACCATTCACATTGTTGTAGCATTCTTTAAAAAGTAAACATATGGTTATTTGGATCATGCTACACACACTCCATTCTTGCTACCAATCTTGCCTCAATCCACTTCTCTACCACATATTTATCTCTATTTATTCTCCACCCACCCTATAATATTAATTTTCTTGCCTAACTACCACATGTTTATTTAGGAGGCATGGGTAATAGCAATGGTGTGGAGTTTTTAGCATTTTCCTTTTGTGTGGCCAAACACCGAAAGAAAAAAGCCCACTCACAACGGCTAAATGGAGGGAGTGGGACAGGTAAATGGACCCAACATCGATTTTCTCGTTTGGGTTTTCCCAAAGAGTAAAAAAATGAGAGCGACGAAAGGGACAACAATATTTCCGTTGGGCGGTCCTCACTGGGTTGGTACGGACAGTGAGGGGTACCCAAATATCATTTGATTTTAGGCCTCCTCACGTGGTCTCCCTGTCTTTCCTGGCCCACTTTGCCTCTTTCTCTTTTTATTGGGGCCCCCATCATTTTCCTGCTTTCTTCCCATATTACCCCCCACCACTCCTGTCTTTCTTCTTCTTCTTCCTCGTTATACTATTAATATACCCACTCCCTCACTCTTCTCCATCTCTAGTCAAAATAAATCTCATAGTTTCAGACAAACAAAAAAAAAAATAAAAGGGAAAAAATGTCTAAGGAAGTGAGCGAAGAGGGACAGGGCGCGCACCAGCACGGCGGCAAGGACTACGTCGATCCGCCGCCGGCGCCTCTGTTTGACTTCGGCGAGCTCAGGCTCTGGTCTTTCTACCGCGCCCTCATAGCGGAGTTCATAGCCACACTCCTCTTCCTCTACGTCACCGTCGCCACCGTCATCGGCCACAAGAAGCTCAACGCCGCCGACCAATGCGACGGCGTCGGCATCCTCGGCATCGCCTGGGCCTTCGGCGGCATGATCTTCGTCCTCGTCTACTGCACCGCCGGGATCTCCGGCGGCCACATTAACCCGGCGGTGACGTTCGGGCTGTTCCTGGCGAGGAAGGTGTCTCTGGTGAGGGCGGCGTCGTACATGGTGGCGCAGTGCTCTGGCGCCGTCTGCGGAGTGGGGCTGGTGAAGGCCTTCATGAGGGGCTACTACAACAAGCTCGGCGGCGGCGCCAACGGGGTGAACGCCGGATACAACAACGGCACCGCCTTGGGGGCGGAGATCATCGGAACCTTCGTCCTTGTCTACACCGTCTTCTCAGCAACCGATCCCAAGAGGAGCGCGCGTGACTCCCACGTCCCGGTAATTATCTTCTTCGTGGTTTGATTAATTTGTGAATTAGATGATGTTTTTTTAACATATAAACTAATGCAATTAAACCCTACCTGCGGGCGAGGATTACGAGTAGGTATTGGCTCCACTTCCGATAGGGTTTGCGGTGTTTATGGTTCACCTGGCCACCATCCCCATCACCGGAACAGGGATCAACCCGGCGAGAAGCTTTGGCGCCGCCGTCATATACAACAGCCCCAAAGTCTGGGATGACCATGTAAGTATATATCCCGTAGTAATTATTATTATTATTATTATTATTATTATTATTATTAAATGGATCTAAGTATTTAACTAGCTAGCCAGCTAGCTAGGTTATTATTAGAGTTTAATTTGTTGGATTGATTGATTAATTAATGAATGGGAATGTGTGCAGTGGATCTTCTGGGTGGGACCGTTTGTGGGAGCATTAGCGGCGGCGGCGTACCACCAGTACATCCTCAGAGCAGCGGCGGTGAAGGCTTTGGGATCTTTCCGCATCAACCCCCCAGCCAACTGATGGATTTTTTCACTTACATAGTTCTCCGGCGGGCCGCCCCTCTGAATTAATCCTTTGCCGCCGGCGATCATTAATTTAATTAATCCTTCAATTCGTCTTAGCTTCACCTTACCCTTTTTAATTTGTTTGTTACATGTCGTACTTAATTAGCTTTCCTTCCTTGATGATTCTTAGTTAGTCCTCGGCTTTAGATTGTAATTGAAGTACGTACGAAGTAAATGTTCTCCACACTTCCCTTTTTTCTCCGTTCTAAAATTACCTTCTCATTAGCAAAAAAAGATGACAAATGACATTAATACTCTCATGTATTTACACCAATTATCTTCTAACTCCATATTTTGAATGACTGCAAAACAAATTCAAAAAATCGTTTTTAAAGAAGATAAAATTTGAAGTCAAAACTAAAAATTAAAAATGGGGAAAAGTCAAACTGAGAAGAATGTTTTAAGACACAGGGAGTAATATAAATGGAAAGAGATATGCTAGGTGATGGGTAATAACCCAAGGATACCACCCGGTTGGTTCACCGAACAGCACACGTCTTTTTCAGCCCGGGTTATTTGACCGGTTGGATGAGGAGACCAGATGCCAATGCCCGAAGATTTACTCAAGTGCACCTGGTGGGCCGGTCAGCCGCCTGACCGGTTGAATAATCAGAGACGTGCTTGACGTGCTTGACGTGCTTAGGATTATTATAAATACCCTTAAAAGCCTCATTTGTGAGGCATGTTTGAATTAACCTACACGGTTTGTATTTGTAATAACTCCTATTATCATTAATAACAAATCGGGTTACAGGTGATTCCACCTACAACCCTTCCGATTACTCACACTTAATATTTGCGTGATAATTTACACTATCAAATTGGCGCCGACCGTGGGACCTATTACAGAAAAGTCATGGCCAGTAATCAGGAAACCGTGATCTCACAAATTTCTACTCCCGCTGAGAATGTCATTTCATTCCCGGGAGGAAGTTCCCAACCGTCAAGCCAGGTTCCTACCCCCATCATCACCATTCCACCACCTATCCCATTCACTTCCCCCGTGAACCCTGTTCCCGTTTTTCCTTCAAATTTCCCCGGACCCCTTGATCCAATGTACAGCCAGGCTCTTCAGAATTTTGGACATTTCATGTCCATGTTCCAGCAGCCGGGAGGGTTTTCACTTTTCAATCCGGGATTGTATCCACAATCCTCGCCTCAAACTAACGTCATTCGCCTGATCGTTCCGACAAACCTGATCGGGGAGATGGATAAAGCTGGTCCATCCCGGTCTAGAAGGAGCCGGTCCCGTAGGTCACAGACAAAGGTGACCTCGGACGGGGATGTGCGTTCAGTGCACAGCAAAGACGAGGATTGGGACGTCCCCCAGGCGATCAAGAAGTTGAAGGGAAAGGCAGTTCAGCCAGAAGAATCTAGGAGGTCGGCCTTTCTGAGACTTGGCCATGATGGCCGAAATCAGAACCGGTCAGCAAAAGAGCGGCTTGGGGTAGAGACCATTCCAGCTAGTGCCTTTAATCGTGCAGGGAGAGGAGCCGGACGACCTTGTCAGACCAGGTGAACG